AAATTAACTCAACTCAAATTAAGCAAATCTGCCAAACCTCTTATAGTTGTCAGCCTAGTAGTCATTCTGGTGGCCTCTAGATGATTGCTTAGGAAATTCTGCTTGGGCATTCAACTTGCTGTTCCCTATTGGTGGATTCCATATGAGCGGCAAAGTTGGGCGGGTAATATCGACCCAAGTGTGATTAAAATTCATGGCGCGAGGCGGGGCCACCCCGTCTGCTAAGTTCATCCTCAGATCACACCTGTTCTCGTTTTGCTTAGTTCTGTGCAGCCGTTCTGTTCTCGTTTTTTGTGAGCAGAACTTTATAAGCAAATGGAATGTCAAGATGCCTGTCGATCGGATTGACACACCGATGTAAAGCCCGCCAATCAGCCACGAAAATGCCACGACAACTCAAAAACAGAAGATCATTCAGCTCAAGGTCGAATAGCACGGCATGCGGTTTACATTTCCTACCACCTCTGTGTGCTCAACGTCTTGGTAATACTGGGCTTACCATCTGCTCACGAAAGTCGTTTTTTTATTTTTCGCAAATTAATAAACTTGATCGCCGAAATTAGCCAAATGACACTTCAAAAAACGCGTAAAATAAACACTGCTCTTTATATAACAGTAGCGTTTAGCGTCGTTGACGAAATGTCGGAATGAATAATCAACATTCCAATGGAATTAGCTAAGATGAGCGGCCGGTTTCCCAAGTATACTAACTTTACCCGCGCAATTGATCAAAGTCAGCGGTAACTCAAAGGGCCCGCTGCCAGGATGCCTCACCCTTCACCACTACCATCAATTCATTTACTGGAACTCTCCATTCCTTACCTCTTCCTTGTTCCCCGCCCCCAGAGGTTGACCACTCCAATTTCAATTTTCTACATGAATCTCTCCTACCTGGCTTACTGTCCAGCCTTCTGGTTGGGTTTGCCGTTGACGCTTTGCCTCTCTCTAATGCCCGATGTGGTCTGGAGACTGGGATCTGATTACTGGTGGAAACAACAGATCGCCATGGGCTGTGGAAACAGCCAAGCCAGGGGGTTGAAGTCACCCTCGGTCAGCCTGACAGAAATATGAACAACCCTGGCACGGATGACTTTAAAACCATATGTAAGATTGTTTGCACCTATTTCTTTCGGCTATATTAGTTTTTGAGGTTTTTTCAAAATAAAACAAAATCCACTTCAGACTTTTATTCCCCACCGGTAAAATAATATGTTTATAATATGAATATTTTACTGCCAAATACAAAAGAAATATCTAGTTTCAATTTAACCCATTTAACGCAACTGCTATTGTGTTTTTAACTTTCCTTAAGTGCAAGTAGTTAAGAGTGCAGTCTGACCAAAGGCTAGCAACCTTATCGGGCTTTCCTGAGGCGTCGTACCTGCCGCCGACTGCAACAATGATTCCTTTGTCAATATGAGGGCCGTCTTCAAGGTCATACGCCTTCGCGGGGGTTCCGCCCACGCGATGATCTAAACCGTTGGATCGGACACAGATGCACGCAAGCCTACGCGCCTGTCAACTGGTCGTGTGACCTTATCCCGAGCGCCCAATGATGCCACAAGCGAACGCGCATGGCAATCCCTTATAAGCCGCTGTCACCTCTCAGACAATGAGTTGCTTCCGATGGCTTGTACCATGGCTGGATAAAGAGTGTGCTAGAGATTGTAATAAC